CGTGAGGATTAGCTGTGTCCAAAGTTTATAAGCTGTTGTGTGAGGGTTGACCCCTCTGATGTAGCTTGGCCCCAAGGGGCTCTTGTGCCTGTAGAGATTTCCCTGTTAGTGTGAGTCTTGTAGGTCAGGCCTGTAATGCTCTGGTTTTATCTGAAGTTGGTCTTTGGGTGTGGTGATTCTTGTGCTGCTTTCGCTGGACCCTGCACAGAGGTTTCTCTTACTTTTTTTCTGGTTCCCCTCAATGTGGACATCAACTTTGTAATATCCTAACCCGCAGGGTCCCAGTGCTCTCACTCCAGGTCCACAGCCTCTGCTCCCGCACAGACCCAGGGACGCTGAGACCGCATCTACCTCTGCAGGGAGAAATCTGACGGGAGGAGGCGTTATTGATGTGCACACGCGCAGAGCGACCGCCGAGGATACCATGGTCATTTTAGAGCAGATTGAAACTCAGGGTCACCAAAAAATTTATGAAAGTTCCTCGATATCTATAATGTTCTACCACGCTCCACTTCTACAATTATATATGGAAAGAAAAGTTTTCAAGACCTACATTTCTATGTTATAGAAATGAATGATGGGTAAATGAATATAAATTAATAATAATAAAGCATTATTTTACTAATTTACAATCCCAAATTATAGGATTCAATTCAGAGTTCCATCTATACTCTTTCTGAAGTCTGAAAATCATGCTGTAAGTTAACATTTATTTCTTATCCAGAGGCTTACTAAGCCTGATTCATTCTAAAATCTCAGAAGTAAATAAAAACCAGTTGTGCCTACTTAACATCTCCTTAAGTAATCTGACAAGATTTCTGAATAGTTTAATGACATGCAATTTTTTACACTCCAGTTGAGCTGGTAACCTACAAAGATATGTAAGATTTGGTAGAGTGAGGAGGGGTGTAGCTGCTTGGTTTTCAGCATCTTCTACATATGCTGGGCAGTAAGTACTCACAGCTGACATGATGAGCTCTCCCCCCAGGCTCTGGATCTCAGCTTTAACTTGACTGCAGATTTTCAGTTGGTGGGAGTAGAATTTAATCTGTTCTAGGTAGGCCAACAAATCCTGTTTGCATGATGGATCTGGACACTAAAATGTGCAAAAAAGATAAAAATGGAAATAGCAAAATAAATAATAAGTAGATCAAAATGACTAAATATTGACATTACGGTACCTTATAAGACAGCAACTTTATTTTCATTGAGCCCCATTTCTCAGACCAAGCACATGTTGATTCTGATATGCTTCTGCCATTAGAACAATTTATTCATGTTTTGACCTTAATTACTTCAGCATAAACAAAAGAAATAATAAAGGAATTTCCAGATGTGAAAAGATACACAAAATAATGACTTTAGCTGATGATAAGGTTAGAAATCGTCTGATTACATTTTTAGGTAAACCTTAAAAAGTGTTTAAAATGCAAGTATTTCTTTCACCTAAAGTTGCTATTAGAATAATCCTGGGTACCTATAGTTTTGCGTTGTCTGAGCTTCGTTATTTGCATGAGTATAAAACAAACAAACAAACAAACAAAAAATCTGCAACAAAACATATAGTATGCTCTTTTACTTTCAGCATTTAATGCCCTTAACTATTACAGACAAAAGAAATCATTTTCACCTCAGATAACAGCTGCAGATCCACCTGGAGCCGAGAAACAGATGGCACCCATGTTGTAGAGATGTATTAAATTTCTTTACCAAAAGCAGTCTCCTATATTATATTATCCTCTGTAAGGAACTTCCTGGAGTACAGCCTTGAGTTTTATCATAACATGATAAATATCTGTGACCGGTGTTTAATGTTTGAGTACTTTCTCCTATGCAGTTATAATAGATTTTTAAATTCCCAAAAACTTAATTGTACTTTAAATACATTTTTGTAAGGATGAGAAAATATGAAGATTGATTTTTTTATTTTAAATTTTTTTATTAGTTTTAGGTGTAAAAAACAATGTAATAGTTAGACATTTACACCCCTCATAAAGTGAACTCCCCTCCCCCAATTTACTATCCCTCTAACATCATATATAGCTGTTACAATTCCATTGACTCTATCTCTATTCCCTATGTTATATTCCACATCTCGGGACAATACACAAACACACACACACACACACACACACACATACACACTCACATACATACACACATACATACATACATACATATATATGATTATGGTTTACATTCAATATTATTCAGCTTCAGGTGGACAGCGCAGTTGTCAGGCATTTTATGCACAGATATTCATTGCAACATTATTTATAATAGCAAAATTTGGAAATAACTTTTGTCCTACAATAGTGGAAAAATTAAATGCTCTTTCTGTAATGTGATATTACATAGTCTCAAGAAAATAATATTTTAAAGGATATAGGAAAATGTTTTTAGAAAGTGAAAAAATTCAGTATTTAAAATTTCATATAGTGCTCCAAATTGTGTAAAAAATATATGGTTTTATCTGTATTCAAAACATAATACTGAGACATAAATATGTGAAAATAATAAATATGTAAACATAATACAATCAATAATTTTCATTTTCTTCATATTTTACATATCTTAAGTACATATTACTTCTAAAATTATAAAAATGTTATTATCAAAACAGCTTTCATTCTAATGGCCTAAAATGCTAATAAAATGTAGGATAAAATATCAGAAATCATTCTATGCATGTGTGCTTTTACTTAGAAATCAATAAGCTAGAATGTTATTGGAAAGTTCCTGAGAATCTCATTCTCTTTTATATTTGCGAAATGGACTGGCCTGCATATCTCCAGAAGGTGTGGACAAGTTGAGAACTTGTGACCCTCGAGTAAAAGTTAATTAACAAGGGTAGCAAAGAAATCAGTTCTTCTGTGGAAACACTATCAGTCTGCTAGATAGGCATAGACATATGAATGGCTGGCTACAAAGATACATGATAACCAGCCAGAGTGACAATCAGACAATCAGAGAAGATGACTGAGAGATCTTGACTTTAAGAGCAAGGAAGCAAGGGTAATCCCCCAAATCTCACCAGAAGAATTAAATTGTAACTAATAATAATAAGGAGGGATGGGGGGGAGGGAAAGGGAGAGAGAGAGAGAGAGAGAGAGAGAGAGAGAGAGGAAAGAGAGGAGAAAAAAGGAAGTGGAAGAGTTTTCCCCAATTTACAAATGAGAAATCAGCTCTTTAGGAACTGTAATACTTTTCACAGGATTGAAGAGTTTATGCCAGAGCCAGCATTTGAATCCTTATCTATTTATCTATTTGCTTTCAGGTCTGTTTTATTTTAAACCACTAAACTTAAGAGAATCTGGAATGTACTTTTTTCATCACAGAATATTGTGGGTTGCATAGCCTGAAAGGAAAAAAAAAAAAAGAATTTATGGGAAAACGATTTCTCCAGCACTATTCTGAAGAGTGTTAGATTTTTCAAAGACCAAAATTATTCATTTACAATGACCTATAATGATGAAAGGGAAGTTATCTCCTTGTTTTATCATGACAGAAAGTTGACCTTCATTAAGTATGTCCCATGTGCCAGCCAGTGTGCCATGTCCTTTACGTGTGTAATTCTAAGTTAGTACTCACACTCATTTTACTTATTGCTGTTTTGCACATTTGCAAACCAAGTTTTTGATAATGTGACTGGTCTAAAGATTTGAATTTACTTTTCTCTGTTTCATTCACTGCACAATGATCCCTTCTACATGACATTTATTGAAAACACCGTTTTCTTTGTGTGTTCTCTCTGAGTAATAGTCTTATCTATTCTTTGTTCTTATGGATGAACTCAATGATAACCCCTGACACATATAGTGTTTTATCTGTTCTATACTATTCTAGACGCTTTGTCTATATAAACTCTTTTAATGATCACACAGCTCCATGAGGTAGGTTATTTCATTATCCCCATTTAGCAAAAAATGAAACTGAGGCACACAGAGGTTACTTGATTTGCTGAATTAATAAATGGTGGAGCTGGTATTCAAACTCACACCTGACTACAGTTCTCTATCTCTATGGCCTGGTCCAGGAACAATATATCAGTCTTCCTGTCAGTTTTATCTGATATACTAAACAGTAAATTGCCACTCTGATTTGTAAGTTGGTTTCTTAAATTGATATTCTTATTTATAAATTGTATATAGGATTAGTGTGGATTTTTTCCTTAATGACCAGTACCACTATATAACTTCTGATAAAATTGAACTTATCAATTAAAAATCAGGTTCTTAACCAGTAACCAATGTTGCAATTGCCAAGTAAGACATTACAGTCCCCCTTGAGGGACTCTTTCAAAACCATATTAGAAAAGTTTAAAATTCTGTTGAGGAAGAAAGAGTCAAATAAGGAGAAAATTTGAAGGTGAACTTTTGAAAATAAAAGTTGTTTGATCCAGATTTATCCTTCATTCCCAGAATTGATGAGAATCATGGTTACACCCTACAATGACAGTCAGATTTATACCTGAAGCAGAAAAATCCATTAATTGGTAAATTACATCCTCTAAAATTTATTAATTTTTCTATTGACACTTGGAAAGCTTTTCTGAGTGGGCTTTGACTGCCTAGATGCAGATTCAGGGGAATGAATCGTTCCCATTTTAAGAATGCTCTTCTGCTATTTGCCAAACCTCCTTCATTAAAGTCAAATAGTCTTTCCCCACCTTTTATATGTCTACATGAAAGTAATAGAAAAAGTGTGGGCCGTAGATTTGTATAACATTCTTTCCCTAGATTTTTTAAAAATAAAATTTGCATAAAAATAACTTTTAAAGGAAGTCTGATAGGGACTTTCAGGCAAGTCAAGTGGTAGAATATTATAACACACTTTGGTCATTTCTTAGTTTATCAAGATAAGAGATGTTGACCAAGACATCTGGTTAGCTTTTTAATGCATAACTTTGCTTTATTTTTTTAATTTAAATTTTATAACCCCTGGGACACTCACTACAAACAAACAGATGGCATGTTTTCTCACACTAAACCAGCTTTCACTCTTCTTTAAGATGCTTGGTACCAATCCTGAATACATATTTAGCAATGAGAGGAAAAAGTAAAAAAAAACAACATTTATTACTTTTAGTTTGAATTTTAAGAATATATTAGCAATGTGGATGCTTTAAAGACCTTTATTTCATAAGCATAGCTATCTCCATCCCCCCACCATTGGAATATAAACTTTATTTAAGAAGCATTTAAAATGACTTTTGCAATTACAAACAACAGTTTAATTTCTGCTAAGCTGGCAAACTTTGTTAAGGTGTATTAGGTGTCATGGTGAATTGCTAAGATAGAAATTCCATGCAAGCAATGATAGGAAAAGCACTCTGTATCCATGACCTTTTCCTTCTCAGGGCTCATGTCTCTCCCTGTCCACCAACCGAGAGGCTCTCACTTCACTTTCCTCTGGGTCACAGATCATCAATGACCCCATCTTTTTCTTCACTTTTACTATCTTTTCCTATCCTTGAATCTATAAACATAAATTTTCTCAAACAATAATCCTTCCTTAACTCTGTCATCCCACCTCTCTCTCTCTCTCTCTCTCTCTCTCTCTCTCCATGAACATGCTTGCTACTGCCCCTATTGCTCTCAGTTTTTGTTCTTGGGCATTTTTTCACTCTTACCCTCTTCTTGGATAATAGTATATACTGCTCTGTCTTTATCTATCGCTTCCAAAATGAACATTACTAAATTTCTATCACCCAGCCTTGTCTTCAGAAGGTCCTTATACCTATTGTGTTTGCCCATCTCATTGCCTTATCAACATTTCACTCAACACATGGAAACCTCAACTATCTCATACTCCATCTTGCCTACTGTAAAACCATTTTTCTTGTTCTATTAACTATCCCAATAAAGAGTGCTTTCTCCCACTCTCCCATCTATGAAATTTGGTTAGTCATTAATTCAAGATGATTCTACACCCGGAAATCTCAGCATACTTTGAATGTTTTCCTTCTTTGCTATGCCTATCTTTGCTGCTCATTAGTAAACTGAGGTTCTAAAACACAGACGAGAAGGGTATCCTAGGGAAGTATGGTTAAAAATACAGCAGAACTCTTATGATGTCAGAGATGCAGGGTAACACAGACGCTAACCATGCTGACTTGTGAGAGTTATATTTGAGAAACTATGGCTTGGTATTTTCCAATATATAGATGTTGTTTTTCCATAAAGTATATATGTTGTTCAAATTTTGTCATATCTCCCAGGTTAGACTAATATTATCTTGAGTTTAAAAATTGTTTCCAATTCATTTTTAGTTTCAACTCGGTTTGGACAGACAGCCATTGAGAAAATGTTATTAGTGACATACACTTTGAACATCAATAAAAATTAAAAACAAATATTTTTCCATCTTCATCAGTACTCCTTCCCTTCAGTAAGTGTAAACTTATGTGCCAATCTACTTTTTAGCTTTATGTTGACTTTCTTGAGAAATTCTCAAAAGGACTAACTTCCCTATAGGTTAGATTACAACTCAGAAAATATTATCTCCCTTCCTGAAACCAGAAATTTGTTAACTGAAGAATTACTTGGACTGAGTAAAAATGTTTTACCCTGTATATAAAATACAAATGTGAAAAGGATGGCAATAAGGTAACTTGGGGAAATTTTGGTTATTTAGAATTTTGCTTAAAGACAGCCAGCCATCTATCTGTAAAGAGAAACTTTCATCATCATTCCCTCTCCTCTCCTTTACCAAACAGCCCTTCCTCCTAGATCCTACAGCAGATTGATTATTTTTAGTCCCTAGGGCCATAATTTTGTATCTTTGAAATAAAACTGAATATATAATCATCCTTAAAGTATTTAAGGCGTTGTTTCAATGGGAAAATGACAATGATCCAATAAAGGGGGAAAATAGTAAAATAGCATGCCTTTTAATGGAAGACTATTACTTTAAGGATGCAAACAGATCAAATATTTTGGTATTTATCTATTCTTAATCCCTGAGAACCTATAACGCATTTATTTGTATGAAGCACGGGTTCATTAATCTGGAGAACAAATCTAAGTATCAGTATCACTGCTCAAAATACATTTCAGACAGATAATAGCATCGAAATACAAATATTGTCCCAAGATGCATCTAGGATTATATCCTTAAGAGATTGTTTAGAATGCTATAATGAATGCTTCAGAAGTTTCATTTTAATATACTTTTATTACAAAAAAAATTGACTCAAACAACATCAGCAGGGAAACAATTCAAATGAGGCTATCCATGGCAATATTTTGTCAAAATATCAATATAAATTACACTTTTAGGTTGTTTTGTTTATAGTTGAGTGCAATGTGTATGATTTGACTTGTAATTCTTTATCTTATTTTTTTAATGTCATCTTTTCTTGAATTATCATTGGCTTTAAACATATTTAACACTAAAAGTTCATTTTAATTCTGTGCAATTAAGATTAGGTAGGAGTACCCAGTCAATAACCTACATATCTTTGCTTTGTCAAAAAAATGAAGGAGTATTAGGCTTCAGACATACCACTTGGGGGTCAACAACTCTAACTTTTTCCTCTCATTGCACTCAACATTTTAGCAAATGTAATTTTATTTTGGGTCCTACTCATCTCTTTCTTATTTGTGGTATATTGCTTCTGTAACTAATTGATATATTTCTGTGTAATATTCCTTATGAGGTATTATCCAGTTCATTCAAATAAAGGAATAGAAAGAAATGTGTACCAAAAGTCTGGAATCTTGAATTTGTAGGAGGGGTACTTCTCCAGCTTCTCATTCTCTGTATTTGTTAGGAAAATGTTTAGGAATTGTGATAAGAAACAACATCCTGTCCTTTAGGAATATACTGTCTAATGGAGACAAGGTTTGTATCAGCGCTCTGCTGGATTTAAACAATATGGTCTTGGATGACATATATAATCCACCACAACATCTTAAGACAATTCTAAAGCCCAAGAGAGTTTGCATGATTGGGAAAAGTAACCTTACATTAGGGTTCTGGATGTTCAAACAGAAGGTTTTTGTTCATCTCCCTTGCTAGCCAGATAACAGCAATGCCTGAGCAGTGAACTGTATGTGCTTGCACACAATAAACACATGTTCAGAAGCAAGGCAGAGAAGTGAAAAAGAAAGTCCAGGCAGGCCAAATTCAAAACCTCAATTAATCTGATAGTCATTCTCTCTACATATACATTTTAACACTGATATTTTATGGAATGAAACTAAATTAGTCTAACATTACACACACACACACACACACACACACACACACACACACACACACATATACGTCCATATTGAGTGGTGCTGGAAATTGATTAATGTTTGACCTTCCAACACTCTAGTAAAAAACAGACCAGAAAGCATCATAAAAATTCACTTTTTTTTTTTTTTAACTATTAGATTCTTTAAAAAAGAAACAACCAACAGTTCGGCAGATTTTTTTTTTCATAATATACATAAACACTGTGAAAACCACCCTGCTTATATTATTCAATTGCATTCCATTATTGATTTCAGGTATTATTCTCTGTCTAAATTTTTAATGTTAATCTTTAAAAAATATCAGAAATATAGTCACAGACAATCTCCTCAGATGATGATCACTATAATGAGTCAGTTTCTTTTTTCTCAGTTTTGGATTCAGAGCCCTATCTGTTCAGAACGAAAGTAATTCATTTGAAACTACTTTACTATACGAAGTGAGAAAATCCAGAGAGTCATCCATAATTCTTCACTAGTCAAAGAAGTTTCATGGAAATGAAACAATACTTTTGCTTTCTTCAATAAAATTTGGATCATGCTAAAAACAATGGCATCATTTAATAAAGCTTTGTTATAAAAGCACCTACCGCAAGGTTATTTGATCCAATTAAAGGAGAATGTCAACATAAGAAACAAACTTCAAAGTGACACAATTATTTGAACTTAGAAAATTGTGTATTCCAAAATAAACAGAGGTAGACTGGTGGGAAGCATTAAGTATTTAAAAAGTTACTAGTACATATAAATTTGTCTAATGCATTATGGTTTCACTTATTCTGTTACTATTTAGTATCTCATCCAAATGAGTGCAATCAAATTCTAAATTATAGAAATCCATGGGCAGATTTCGGTTTCAGTCATTTATTCACACCAGATTTTGAATTATATTAGGACAGAGTTTCTTTTTAACTATAAATACTAAATATTAAAAACAAGTAATAAAATGTTTTAAAATGTTTATAATTCTTAAAGTGGCAAGACACTGAATACATGTATATATTTTAAAACATGCATATGTATATGAATATTTAAAATATCTGTCTGTCATTTATTGGTCCTTATTTGTTTCTCAACCCTTATATCCAAAAATGTATCTAATAAGAAAAAGTTTCTCATACTCCAAGAAACAGAGGACAAAAAGAGTAAATAATAGGAAGCAGCCCAATAAAAGTACGCAAGCAAGAAAAAACATGGAATAGTTGCAAGTCAAAAGAAAAGTGCTTTTTCCTAGTTGGCGATAAATATGTATTATAAAGCTGAATAATATCAAACTTGCAAAGTAAACTATATTCTCAGTTTGAAATAGTAATTAAATATCTTAGTACATTAAATAAAGCACTAATAGATTTTTCAATTAAAGTTAGACAAAATATAATTCTGATAGTGTAGCTGCTGCTTAGAAAATTGAAATATAGATGAGAGAAGTGTAAAAAAAGTGTTTAGAGTATTAGTCTCTATAAAAATTACAAACTTCCACATTTTATATCTTCACTTTAGTACATTAATAATCACTATTTGTCTTGCAATTTAACATAAGATGCCAGTATATATTGTTGACACAGAAAACCTAGCATAATAGAGTTTTGAAAAATATTAATTTTTGAAAAGCAAAACTAAAAAATCTAAGGCATTAAGAAAAAAATAATAACATTGGCTATTACATCCAATTAAAATAATTTGAGTATATTTGAAACTTGAAAATCTTAGAAATAAGGAAATGCTTCTACTACTTCTGCCCTAAGAAATAATTAAGCTCCGATAGAATGAGTTGTCCACTACTTGTGCATTAATTATTCAACAAAATTTAAAAAATAATTCAATAATAATAAAAAACAATCCAACAGGGAAAAAATCCAACTTTTTTCTAATCATGCTGAAAGGGCAGGACACAATTAGCACAGACTTTCATTACATCTGTTTGTAGAATACTCACCTGATTTGCAATCTGCCGAGCGAGGACATCCATCCTTGATCCCGATTCTGATATCATTTTAGCTGCATAAATCACATCAGTTGTGTGCTTTAGTGGTCCTTTGCCCCTGGAAGTAAAATAATGCATGTTACTTGCAGTGGCCCATGCTAACACACACACACACACACATACACACTCTCTCTCTCTCTCTCTCTCTCTCTCTCTCTCTCTCTCACACACACACACTCTCACATACACACACACACACACAAGGTTTGCATCTCAAAGTACTGGCCATTAGCTTTCTATACTTCAGTTTTAGACAGGCCTTAATTATGCTTTGGTACTAACTGAAAAAAAGAAAGAAAATTAAGGCCTATTGTGTTAAGATTCAGAAAACACACGATGATGGACTATTTGTTCATTCTTCATTTTCAGGTATTTCTTATAGCAAACCTCAGTCTAGAAATATTCTTAGAGGACATAGATATCTCAAGACAAAAGTATTTTCCTGATCGTGGGAGAGAACATGCGGTTTTAGATATTATATATATTCAACAGTGTGTTTTGATCAGCAAGGGCTACTTTTAGTCTTTTTATTTTTAGTCCTTTTTTTTTACAGTCTTTCAGTTAATTGTATTTTATTTTTATCATATTATAGCTCCTCTACAATTAACTCATGGAAATATCATAGTTGAGTGTGAATCTGGAGTCACACTATGTATCCCAGTAACAGACCACTTCTTACTATTTGTGTAAGTCTGTCAAGATACTTTGTGTCTCAGTTTCCTTGGTGGTACTAGGAGCACCCACCACATGGAGGAGTCATTCTAAGGATTACATGAATTCACTTCTACAAAGTGCTCAGAACATTGCTTTAAACAAAGCAAGCATTCAATAATAAAAGTTGTTATTATTGTGATTGCTACTTTAAAATAATCTTGGTTCCTAATGCAATGAAATAAAAGTTGGGTTTATTTAAGGATTTTGCAGGGTAGGTAAGAAGAAAGGAGTATACTTCTTACATTTTTGTAATGAGATGAGATAAGAAGGTATTTGTCTATCTTCTCTTTCCTCAAATATAAATAATTACCTGAATAAATGTAACAGTTCCAACCACCTAAAACTACTCTTCTTATTATTTCTTTACATCGAATCCCTAACCCTCTACTGAGTGTTAACACACTGGTTGTTCTAATTATTTGGTTTCTGTTCCTTTTTCCTAGCAGAGAATAGGACCCTGAAGGAATTGCTCACTAATACAATTGTTTTCATGCTTCCACAGGAGTGAGGCAAGTGAGGGAGGTGGGAAGGGGAATACATTTGTCAGGGTGAGAAAAGGAAAATTTTTTTCTTATAATTTTTATTAAATTTATTGGGGTGGCAGTGATCAGAAAAATTATACAGGTTTTAAGTGTACTTTTCTATAATATGTTATCTATATATTTCACTGTGTGTTCACTACCCAGAGTCAATTCTCTTTTCATCACCACATATTTGACCTCTTTACCCTCTTTTACAACTCCCCCCCACACCCTCTGGTAACCACTAAACTGTTGTCTGTGTTTATGAGTTTTTGTCTGTTTGTCCAGTTCATTTGTTGCTTTCAGTTTTATATCCCACATGAGTGAAATCATAAGGTTCTTGACTTTTTCTGTCTGACTTATTTCACTTAGCATGATAATCTCAAGATCCATCCATGTTGTCACAAATAATATTATTTCACCTTTTCTTATGGACGAGTAATATTCCATCATATATATGCACCACATCTTTATCCAGTCCAACTATGGAAGGATACTTCAGTTGTTTCCACATTTTGGCCACTGTAAATAATGCTGTGATGAACATAGGAGTACATATATCTTTATGGATAAATGCTTTCAGATTCTTTGGGTAAACAACCAGGAGAGGGATTGCTGGCTCATATGGAAACTCCATTCTTAATTTTCTGAGGAACTGCCATACTGTTTTCCATAGTGGCTATACCAGTTTACATTCCCACCAGCAGTGTATGAGGGTTCGTTTCTTTTTCTCTACAACCTCTCCAATACTTATTATTACTTGTCCTGTTGATAATAGCCATTCTAACAGGTGTGAAGTGATAGCTCATTGTGATTTTTTTTTTTTTGTAGAGGGCAGTGTCACTGGCCCTCATATGTGGGATCCGAACCGGGGCCCTCTGGTGTCCCAAGCCAGCTCTTAACCATTGCGCCACTCGGCCGGCCCTCATTGTGATTTTGATTTACATTTCCCTAATAGCTAGTGAAGTTAAACATCTTTTCATATATCTGTTGTCTGTTTGTCTTCTTGGGAGAAGTGTCTATTCGGGTTCTCTTCCCATTTTTAATTGGATTTCTTGTTTATTTTGTTGTTGTTGAGTTGTATGAGTTCTTTATCTTGGGTTGTTGGAAAAGTCATGACATATTTTTTCTATGTTTTTCGTTGCAAAAATGCATCATGACTTTTCCGACAACACAATATATTTTGGATATTAGCCCCTTATTTGAGGCGTTGCTTGCAAACATCTTCTCCAATTCGGTTGGTTGCCTCTTTGCTTTGTTGATGGTTTTGCTGTTGAAAGCTTTTTAATTTAATATAGGTCCCAATTCATTTATTTTTGCTTTTACTTACCTTTATTTGAGGTCAAACTCATAAAATCCTCTCTAAACCAAAGGTCCATAAGTTTAGTACCTATTCTTTCTTCTATGCAATTTATTGTTTCAGGTCTTATGTTTAGGTGTTTGATCTATTTTGAGTTAATTTTGGTATATGGTGACAGGTAGCAGTCTAGTTTCATTCTTTTGCATGTGACTTTCCAATTTTCCCAGCACCATTTATTGAAGAGGTCTTCTTTTCTCCATTTGTATGTTTTTGGCTCCATTGTCAAAAATTATCTGTCCATATATATGTGGGTTTATTTCTGGGATCTCAATTCTATTCTATTGGTCTGTGTGTCTTTACCTGCCACTACCATGCTGTTTTGATTATTGCGACTTTGCAGTACAAATTGAAGTCAGGGAGTATGATACCTTTAGACTTGTTTTTTTTTTTTTCATGGTTGCTTTGGCTATTCAGGATCTTTTGCGATTCCACACAAATCTGATGATTTTTTTGTTGTATTTCTTGAAACAAAAATGCCATTGGGATTTTGATGGGGATTGGATCAAATCTATATATTGCTTTGGGTAATATAACCATTTTAACTATGTTGGTTCTTCTAATCCATAAGCAAAGAAATCTTTCCAATTATATGTGTCTTTTAAAATTTCTTTTAATAATGTCTTGTAGTATAGGTGTAGAGCTCCTTTACATCCTTTGTCAAACTTATTCCTAGGTATTCTATTCTTTTTGTTGAAATTTCATAAGGAATTTTTTTTTCATTTCTTTTTCTGAAATTTCATTTTTAGTATATAGGAACACAATTGATTTGTGTACATTGATTTTATACCCTGCAACTTTACTGTATTTGTTTATTATTTCTAATAGTTTTTGATGGAGTCTTCAGGGTTTTATATATAAAGAATCATGTAGTCTGCAAAAGGTGACAATTTGACTTCTTCATTACCAATTCGGGGGCCTTTTATTTCTTTCACTTGCCTAATTGCTCAGGCTAGGACTTCCAATACTATGTTGAATAACAGTTGTGAAAGAGGGCATCCTTATGTTTTTCTTGATTATAGAAAAAAGGTTTCTGTTTTTCACCATTAAGTATAATAGCTGATGGCTTATAGAATATGGCCTTTATTATGTTGAGGTACTTTTATTCTATACCCACTTTATTAAGTATTTTAATCATAAATGAGTGTTGTATCTTGTCAAATGCTTTTTCTGCATCTATTAATATAATCATATGATTTTTATCTTTTATTTATGTTTTTATGTAGTGTATCACATTGCTTGTTTTGCAAATGTAGAACTATCCTTAAGCCTCTGGAATAAACCCCACTTGATTGTGATGTATAATCTTTTTAATGTATTGTTGTATTCTATTTTCTAGTATTTTGTTTAGGATTTTTGAATTTGTATTCATTAGAGATATTGGTCTGTAGTTTTCTTTTTTTGTGTTATCCTTACTAGGTTTTGGTATCAGGGTAATGTTGGCCTCCTAAGATAACTCAGAAAATATTGCTTCTTCTGCAATTTTTTGGAAGAATTTGAGAAGGACAGGTGTTAAATTGTCTTTGAAAGCTTGGTGGAATTCATTAATGAAGCCACCTAGTTTTGGACTTGCTTTTGGGAGGCTTTAAACGGTTGTTTCAATTTCCTTACTGTTGATGGGTTTATTTAGATTTTCCAGTTGTTTGAGATTAAGTCTAGGAAAGTTATACATTTCTGAGAACTTCTCCATTTTTTTTAGGTTATTGAATTTGGTGGCATATAGTCCTTCATAATATTATTGTATGATTATATGTATTTCTGAAGGAGCCATCATAACTTCTCCTTTTTCATTTCTGATTTTTTGTGTCTTTTCCCTTTTTTCCTTAGTGAGTCTAGCCAAGGGTTTGCCAATTTTATTAGTTAGTTAAAAAAATCAGCTCCTAGTTGCATTATTTTTTCTATTATTTTTTGTTCTCTATCTCATTTAATTCTGCTCTAATTATTATTTCCTTCCTCCTGCTGACTTTGGGTTTCATTTGTTCTTCTTTTCCTAATTCTTTAAGTTGTAATGTTAGGTTGTTTATTTGGGATTTTTCCTGTTTCTTGAGATAGGTTTGTCATGACATAAATTTCCAACTTATCACTGCTTTTGCAATGTCCCAATAATTTTGATATTTCCATTCTCATTTGTTTCTATGTATCTTTGATCTCTCCTTTTATTTCTTCTTTGGCCCAGTCATTCTTTAATAGCATGTTGTTTAATCTGCACATATTTGTGGTATTTCCCACTTTTTTATTGCAGCTGCTCTCCAATGTCAAAGTCTTACGGTTAAAGAATATGCTTGGTATCATTTCAATCTTTTTAAATTTGTTGAGGCTAGTTTTGTGTCCCAACATATGATCTACCCTTGAGAATGCTCCATGTGCACTAGAAAAGAGTGTATAGTCTGGTGTTCTGGGATGAAATGTTCTGTAAATGTTTATTATGTCTATTTGGCCTAATGTGTCATAATAAAGTTGATAGCT